TGAGGCTTTGAATGAAAAAGAGACACGTGTCACGGGTGGAGTGACATCAGCGACTGAATCTGAACAAGTTTAGAGACAAAAACACGGAGGACGATTCAGGAACAGCAACGATGGAAGTTTCTCTTCCAAGGAGGGAAAAATATTTTTCATCTTTATTGTAGTTCAGCAGAGTTTTCAAGCATTTTTTAAAATCAGATTTGAGCCGATGCACGTTTTTCAGAATCACAAAAACTTTATTAATCCCGAAGGAAATGTCCTGATTTTTATGTCCCAATGAGCCTTAAAATTTAACATAATTTAGATAACTGACCAACAAAGTGCCAGAGGCTGTTTCAGAGTAGATGCTAAGTGGCGAGAGTTGTTTCTAGAAGGACTTTGGGGCAAATTCCACTACAAATATATATTTAAGTATTTATGATATACAAACAGTGTGACGGCCTGCAAGCAAACACGTCTGCATGAAAGGACGGAAACCTTAAATAAAGTTATAGAAAACTATTTTTGAAAGTCTTATGAATGAATTGTTGTTGAGTTGTTTTCAACTATAAGGTGAAACCTTTACCTACACTGGGGTCGCCCCGTTACCATTTTGCCCATTTTGAGACAGAATTGATCATTTCTATAAGAAATTGTGACATTATCAGCAAAATGCATCGACGGGCAGTGTGAGAGCATCGCCCGGACACAGATACCTGCTAATTAGTCCCAAAGATTTCACCCAAACCGGAGCTCCACCTTCTTGGGCGGTCTGTTATTACAGTGACCTCACAGTAGACATATAATTGGTCACATGATGTCATTACAAATGCCCCAAAAGGCTCCAACAGCACAAACATGGTCCAGAGGTCCAGTTTAGGGTGAGGTGAAGCCTGGCTAGCAGCTACAGCCACCTGTGTCACCATCGACCTATCAGTCAAAGAGGCCACGCCCCTAATAATGCAAACTAAGCATTAATAAACTTTAAACAGCTGTGATGAGGCAAACCTGTAATTTGTGGCTGTGGCCGTCCAAGTCCACTGACAGGAAGTGTTCTCAGAGAGAGCCCGTTCTCCTCCAACCAGGCCAAACCTTCATGGCGTCTTCCTTTGCGCCACCACTCCCACTGAGCAGCGTTTGAGTGATCTTGCTGGAGTGTAACAGCTCTGAATTGTCTCAGTGAGGGAATAAACTACAGCATGGCGGTGGGTCACATGACTTGTTGTTTGAGACACAGGAAAGGAACCAGAGTAGATCAGTTTACTCGTCACATTTTGCTGTTTTCGTTTATTAAATCTTCCCTCAAAGCCGACATGTTTATGTCGGCTTTCACTGCCTCGTGTCCAACATCGTGACATCGCTGTGAAACACTGAAGCCGAGCTTCTCTCACCGTGTGCTGTTTGTATATTCCTGTAATCAAACCGCGGCCCCGTCCTCAGGGTGACAGGAGGTGATTTCTTCTTTTTTGACCTTTATCATCTGACTGTAAGTGAAGTTACAACATTTAGAAAGTCACGCTGAGTCACAGTGAAACCAGGAGAGGATGCAGGGGCGTCCAAATGACAGCTGAGTCTTTGTTTGGACACGTCTTCGCTTCTGAGACGCTTCTGCTCTGTGAGGACGATCTGTCCGGTCCTCATAAAGACACATTCAGGTCTGAGACTTTTCAAAGGTCCACACAGACACAGACACAAAGCTTCTGTGGAAGAACGGGGAACTTTTTCAGGAGGTTTTAAATGAAAGAGGAAGTGAGGACAGTTTTGTAAGGAGGGAGGGGATTTCTGAAGCTTTGGGACATTTTTGTAAGGTGGAGATGCCCTGCAGAGCTTTTGTAGGACTTGTCTGACAGAGTTGCACAGATGTCCCACAATTATCACAGATGACACATCACCCTCAGCTTAAGCTGACGACTCCATGGCAAAGCCTGTAGCTGTGTGATGTGAGACGGCTGCGCCTCCGTCAGGGACAGAACTTTGAAGGTCTGAGGTCCAGATCCAGGTTCAGGGATCTGTGAGAGTGCTGCATCAGTGACAGACAAACAGGGTAGTGTGTGTGTGTGTGTGTGTGTGTGTGTGTGTGTCAGATCCTGTCATCATGTGAGTCAGAGTTAATCAGAAGAGTTCAGCTGATGACTAAAAACAGCTAAACTATCAGCAGGCACGTTTACCACGTCCATCAGCTGTGGACGTATCCGTGGAAACGAGGAGTCTTCACACACAGACGTTGGTTTTGCAACCACAGAGGTGAAGAAAAGAAACGCACCTCCTGACTGACATCATGTTACGCACAGCAGTTATGAATGAGCTGATTTTGTGGTGGGGTTCGGCTATGACTATTTTCTGGAGAACAGAGTCCTGTTTTCTGTCTTCGCTGAGTTTAACATGTCACAGCGGCGGACGCTGTTTACATCATACATGCTTCTCTTTGGTAACATTATTAGGAAACATATTTTTTTTCATTGCTATGCAGATAATAACCTGTCATATTTAGGGATGGGTATCGTTTAGGTTTTATCCTTTTGAAACGGTGCTCAAACCGGTGCTTAAAGAATGGAGAACACCAACTTTGTCCAAAAACCTCTCATGTTTAACTGTTTTTTTGTAAAAAGATAACAATGTTAGCCTTTTCTGCAGCTATGGGGGATTTATGGTATCACTCTTGGCTGGAAGCAGCTTAAACAATGGAAAAAACACAAACTTTGTCCAAAAACCTCTCATGTTTAACTGTTTCCCACTTTTTCTTTGGTCATTTTAGCCTTTTTGTCCAGGGTGAAGGGAGTATCTGCCATCAAACAAGAAGACAGCCGCATGTAGCTATGATGATGTTTGCTAGTTCACCTTACATGCATTAATGTAATAACGTGGTTAGCCTACTCAGCGTAAATTACACACGAACAACATTAAGCTACTCACGCAGAGAAGAACGGCTGCTGCTGCATCATCATCCTCATCATTTCTGCTACACTGGCAGGGCTAGGGGCCAGGACTCTCCTCTTCGGGTTTTTGGGGGATGTTGCTAACTCCGGGTCCGATAACAGGCAACCCACCCGCAGTAGATGTGCTCGGTGTGAGGTCTCGCAGCAAGCTATCAAATACGACGCATTTCTCGGCTTTTAAAAAAACGCTATGCGTCACCAGGTGTTTCATCAGATTTGAGGTGTTACCTCCTTTGACAGCATCACAGTATCAGCTTAAAGCACTTGTTGCAGCTGCTGAGTTTGCATCTTTTGCTGTGAAGTACAGCCGGACTTTGACCGCTTCGCCTTGGACATTTTAATCTGTAGCTCTGCTCTAAAAGAACGTACGTACCTGGACCCGCCTACTATCCTCGGAAACGTAAAATGATTGGCTAGAATCTAAAGTGTGTCACAGCTCAGGAAAATAAAGCACCGAAATGTGCGCTGCTTTTCTGTCTGGTTACTACAGTTTATGTCAGAACCTGTGCCATCATGGCACCGGATACCGGTACCCATCCCTAGTCATGTTGGACTATTTTTATAGCACCAACTCACCTCGAGGCGCTTTATATAAGAAGGTAAAGTTAGTTAAATCACAAATACACGATATTGTGAGAAGTTCACTCACCCATCCAAACCTTTGAATTCTGGTGTTCCAGTCACAGGTGTATAAAATCAAGCACCTCAGCATGCACACGGCTTCTACAAACCGTGACAGTTTGCCACCTGTGCAACAAGTCCAAATATTTCCTCACTACTAAACCTTTCACGTTCAGCTGTGAGTGGGATTATATCAAAGTGGAAGCGATTGGGAGTAACAATAGCCCCGCCATGAAGTGCTAGGCCACGTAAAATCCCGGTGTGGGGTCAGCGGAGCATAGTGCACAGAGGTCGCAGACTTTCTGCATCCAAACTTCACGTGGCCTTCAGATTAGCTCAAGAACAGCGCGTAGAGAACTTCATGGGATGGGTTTCCATGGCGACCAGCTTACATCACCAAGCACATTGTAAATGTGGGATGCAGTGGTGTAAACATGCCGCCACTGGACTCTAGCGCAGCGGAGATCTGTGACCAATCACGCTTCTCCATCTGGTGGTGGACGTGTCTGAATCTGGCGGTTGCCAGGACAACGGTACTTGTCTATCCTCATTGTGCCGAGTGTTTCGGTGGAGTGGGGTTATGGGTTGTTTCTCAGGAGTTAGTTCCAGAGAAAGGAACTCGTAATTCAGAATTTATGGTCGGACAGTTTCATGTTCCCAACTCTGTGAGAACAGTTTGGAGATGACTCCTTCCTGTTCCAACACAATTGCACACAAGGTTCAAAAAGACATGGATGAGGCAGTTTGGTGTAGAAGAACTTGACCGGCCTGTACAGAGTCTTGACCTCAAAGCGACAGAACACCTTTTCATCCCACTTTGGGATTAATTGGAGATTGTCAGGCCTTCTCGTCCAACATCAGTGTGACCTCACAAATGTGCTCCTGTGTCAACGATTCCCATAAACGCTCCTAAACCCTGGGAAAGCCTTCCAGTTATAGCTGCAGGGTGGGCTGACATTAAATTATGGATGTTAAACTATGGATTAAGAACGGGAGTTCCAAGTTATTATACATCTGAATGCAGATGTCCAAAAACTTATTGCAATACAGTGTATGTTTTAAAACATTAAGGCTGG